TAGAAGTCTTAAAAAATACAGCAGATTTTCAAGAAACTCTTTAGCATTCTCCAAAGCATCGAGAAACCAGAAGGATCAAGCGGAATCCTACAAGGTTCTCTGAAACTTCTCAGGATCTGTAGAGGTGTTTGAATGTGAAGAAGAATTCAGCGGAGTCTTAAAAGCTTCAGAAATTCTTTAAAAGTCTTAAGAATTCGCAAGCATTCATAAAAGCCTTCAAAGATCTTTTAAACGTATAAAGATTCTTTAGAACTGTTGAACAGCCCTTCGGACTTATAAATATCTATGGAAGTCTACACAAAACTGAAAAGCTTCTACGAAGTTTTGAAGATTCTAAGCGGTTACGAAAGCCTTGAAAAACGTCTATAAATCGATAGATACATTGTACACCCCTATAAATAATAAAAAACTTTCAGATAGTATTAACACCTACAAGAAAGAAGAGATATAGCGCATTGTATTGAATTCCTAACGGGCTTTTTCAGTTATGACGAACTTTTCAGGGTTGTTTGTAGGTCTTGGAAAACTCTGCAGATTGGAACGGATTTTCAAAGAGATACGCTAGATTTTTGACGAATTTCATGAGTTCTCAGAATTCTTGAGGAGTTCTAAATGATGCACAATGATCAGTGTTTTTAAATCGAGATAGTTGTCTGGATTCAGATGAATCTACATAAAAACAAGAACTCTACAGATATATATTCCTTCTTTTTGAGATTCGTTGAAAAGATGAAATCAATAAATGTTCATATTCAATGTTACTCTCGTTTAGTTCAATATGAGTTAAAACACTAAAATTCCATGAATGTATTTGCATCAAATCTCAACGACATTTCTACAATTCGTACATCAATGAAGTATGTCAGAGAAAAGTATTTGATGTATAGGAAGAGTCTTCCACAATGTCTATGGTTATCCAAAACTCTAGAAGACATTTGCTGTGATTCATAAAGATGTAGGGAGACATTAAGATCTCGTAAAATTTGAAAGTTCATAATATGAATAAAAAGTTGTAAGGCTAAATACTTCAGAATTCTAAGTTTGGGTACCACTTATGAACATTTTTATGACTAGTCAAAAGTGCTGAACTATTTAGAGTTCTAGACTTTCTGACCAAAACTTTTTAACTATATCTAGAAAAAGTTTTAGAAAATAGTATCCAAATTTAGAACTTTAAAAGATGCAGTGCAACACTTTTTTCGTGTACCTAAAAGGTGAGTGTACCCTAAAATCAGTCAATGTGTCCGGCCGTCAAGTCATTTACACAATAACTATTGAAAAATGAGTCCCGATCGAGATGAGATTTTCTACACAGTTTTATCTCAGCAATATTTCGGTCAAGCTCGAGGAGGACAATTTGCCAAACCATTCTTGAGTTATCACTGAATCATTATTGCTGTTAATTTTGTATGCGAACATTGATTTATGTTAATTTTCGTGAAAAGCGTTTCCTCCCACAATCAAATAAAATCTTAAACTATTCTATATCATTTGATAGAGAATTTCACAGCTTAGAAAATGGTATCTAAAACATTGAGAACCAGGTGGCTAAATTATCTATTGCAATGATACTTGAATGAAAATTGGTTCTATTTTTGTCTACGTTACAAGTAATCAAAAAGTAAAGCTTCATCTTTCAATGACAGCAATGATACCTCAAGGATTTCTAGGACGAAGAAGTCGAATCTAAGCTAAATTTGCTCCAAAACTCTATTTGCTAAATGGCAATCAATCTAAATCAAGTTTTAATATCAGGGAATCGCTTGGATAATTTTGGTGTCTAAACGTGCTGGAATGAATCATCTATTTAGTTCACTTTTTTGAAGAATTCATAACATTGGGAGTCGAATCCGATGTTTCCACATTTATTTTCATGAGGACCAGGTTCCCTTTTTTAGAATAGCAATAACTGTTTCCTTGTAAGGTGTTTGTGATACAAGAAACGAATATCTACTTCACGCTTCAATGTAATACAAAATTCAGGACAAATTTTACGCCCACAAAGAATTGATTTGACAGAGTTGAATAAATAACTACTCTATCAAATTTATTGATCATTTCGTGTCAGTTTAACCTTTACAATCAAACAGTTGCCGTTGAAATAGTTTCTGAGAACAGTAAGAAAGTATGTGATTAACAATTTTTATTTCACTGAAAATCATATTATGTAAATGAAGCTCCGTGACATGATCGCAAACGGGTGTGGGTGTGGGTGTGTGTGGGGTGGGTGTGGGTGTGGGTGCGGGTGAGGTGTGGGGTGTGGCTGGGTGTGGGTGTGGCTGGCTGGGTGGGTGTGGCTGGGTGTGGGAGTGAATGGGTGTGGGGTGTGGGTGGGTGTGAGGTGTGGGTGGGTATGGGTGTGGGTGTAGGTGTGGGGTGTGCGTGTGCGTGTGCAAGTGCGTATAGTTGTGGGTGTGCGTGTGGACGTGAATGTGGGAGTGGGTGTGGGTTCTTTTCTTTTCCTTCTACCCTCACACCTACACCTACATCCACAGCCACACCCACATCCATGTCCACACGCACACCCACACCCTCAAGATAGTGTATCAACACCTATCTATATTGAAAAATGGCGCCGATGTCTTGTCAAATAACAGAGATGGAATTTGATTTATCTCCTAAAACTCTGTATTTTAGGCATATGAATACCAACGTGATTTAATCAAGAAGTATTGTCCAGACCTCTCAAAGTCTCGTGTCTCTGCATTTTTGTAGGGCATATCAACATCTATTTGTACAGAAAAAGTGGCAGCGGTGTGTAGTCGAATAATAGAGAAAAGGCATATTACAAGCCCCCCCCCCCCCCATAATAGAAGACCGCTTTGGGAAAAGATTCTGTTCCACGACGTAATAGAAGACTCCCACAGTTTTTAAGCTTTTTTTTGAAAACTGAAGATTTTCGTTACGTTTTTTACGCAAAAACTTGTTTATTTCTGGAGTTTTCAGTTGAAAATTTTCAAATCCAGGAGTTCAACTCTATATATAAGCTTCAAAAATCGTGTAAATCCTTTCTCCAATTTTCAAAATCGCTTCGATTTTCGCCGAGGATTGTTTTAATTACAAAAACAGATTAGCGCCGCTGTTGTTGAGCCAAAGTTTAGTACTTATGACGTTTAGACTACTAAAAATTTATATTATATTCCTAAAAATGTATGGAAAAGTTTATCACCAAAAGATATCAAATAAATGGATAGATTGCAACTAATTCTATCACTTGAGTTAAAACATACGCTGTAAAACATTATCCCAACGAAACTATTTCATTTCGAATTACGAAATCTTCCTTCGCTCTACTTATCAGATTTCTTGAATATGTTCATAATACTAATAAAACCAACGCAGAATGCTAAATTTCTAAAAAAACATTGATCACACTGGCTAATATATAGCAATTTCTATTCGTACATTTCAAACATTTTTTTTCTAATACGTGATTTTTTTCTTGTCGCTCTTCATCGTGCTATTCTTCTGTTAATCGAGATTATAATTATTTCGTATTATTCGACTCACGTTTTAATTTAATAATTAAATCAGCTTCGTATAGGCATTGGTTGTATCTTCTCTAGATCCTAACAATCTTGTATGTATATTGATGTACGGAGTAAGACACAAAATACATATTTGTAAAAATTAGGAAATAGTATAATCATGCTTTTATGTAACTTATAAGGTGCAGGCAATTCAAACTTCAAGTAAAAACTTTTTTGCCGTTTTTGTACATCATTTGATAGAGCTAGAGCTGCTGATCACGGAAATCTATTTTTTAGCCTTAGTAAATACTTCTTTCCGATTGAAAAATACGAAATACTCGAAAGATGTCATTTTTCGAAAAAAAAACAGATCTTTGTAAAAATATACAATATTTTCTACTTCTTTCTTTTTTTTTCGGCTCGTGAAAATATCTTTTTCAGATCCAGCATGAAAAACTGAGTAGAAACAAATTGTTAAATCGGCTCAAGATGCAAAAGTCTATTGGTGGGTGTGGGTTGGATGTGGGTGTGGATGTGGGTGTGGGTGTCAGTCTACTTTATAACCGCCTCTGCACTCACACCCACACCCCCACCCACGCCCACCCACCCCACACCCACACCCAAAAATCACAAAAGATTATCTTTCTCATGGATCGTATAAACTTTCATCTGCGCAAAAAGAGAAGGCTAACTTTTTGCTAATACTCATAGCAATATCTGAACTATGAATAATCAAAATACTCCAGAAATTTCCATAACCTTTTAAATCTAAGTGATTGCTACTACATCTATTGCGAAAACGGAACAAGCTGAAAAACCTTGACGCAAACTTACGGTTACTATTAGTTTCTTCGAAAATATACGTGAGTTATACAAAGCTTAAAAACATGATATTTACAACAGAAAGCTTGCTAGCGCAGCCTGAGAGGAGCTAAAATGTGGAAGTCCCGTATATCTTTTAAAGCTGTTATCCTGATGCCTGATTTTTAAACTTCAAAATAGCTTTTTTTCGAATATTTACGAAAGCACTGATATATTATATAGAAACTAAAAGCCTTCTATGCACGGTTGCTGAGTTCTGTAATGGTGACCTGTCTGTAATGTGGGATTGTCTGTATTGGGGAGAGGAGCGAAGGAGCCGCAGAACCTCGAAATGAAAACTTACACTCACTTTTTTCTTTGAAAATATACGTCAATTCCACCAAACTAGAAATAACAGAATTTTAAAATAATATAGTCGCTGATCTCAATTACTCAGTATTGTTTGTTGCTTTGCGAAGATAAATTGATGCTTTTCCCAGCTTCTTGCTACTATGATAGGCGCTGAGAAGCCGTACAACCTCAGTCCAAACTTGCATTTACTGAATTCTTCGAAAATACTCTTGAATTTCGCAAAAATACAAGAGTCGTAATACAAGACCCCCTAAAAAATTTTTGCCGCTTACACATATGAGAAGACTCGGGGTCTTTTATTGTGGGGGGGGGGGGGGGGGGGGTATATGAATTTTGGTGTAACACTTCATTTACGGTCTACTCACGGATTGTTGTTGTTGTTGAGCGCGTTGTTATTATTGTTGTTGATGTTATTGTTGTTATTGTTGTTGATGTTATTGTTGTTATTGTTGTTGATGTTGTTGTTACTGTTGTTGTTTGTGTTGCTGTTATTCTTGTTGTCAATCGTGTTGTTGGTTGTGTTGTTTTCGTTGTCGACCGTGTCGTCGTTGTTGTCGTTAATGTCTGCGTTAGTATCGACGTCGTTGTCGAGCGTATTGTTACTGCTATGGTGTATGAGTTTAAGATTCTTATAGTAATGATATCGCAAATTTGTACACTAGAGATGCTTCTAGTGTAATATTCGCCAGTTTTTTTACAGGTGTATCAGTTGTCATAGAATTTAGAAGAACCAGTGATAAAAGGTTTAAGATAATCCTTCCATAGGTGCATCATTTAATAGTAACTTCAAAGGCACAACCTAATCATAACTGCCTAAGATATGAAGCAACTATTACTCTAACGATCCTTACTAATTTTACCTCTCAATGCTGCATTAAATAACGCAGATAAATGCACATATAGTTCAAAAAATCAATAGCGCAACATCATCCATGATTTTGGGTGATGTTGCATCGATATTCAGAACTTCGAAATAGAAAATATCGCCAGTTTGAGGACGCTCAAGATTTTTATATACTAAATTGCTCGATGTTGCACGATGTGATTCAGTTTTCAAATCTATTAACACTCCAAGAATTATTTAAATAAGGACATATCTTATACTATAAGAATTTCCGAAATATCTGAAGCATTTGATGTTATTAAATCTTTTTGATTTGCAATAGTATGTAGTCACCGAGCTGATTAAAACATTGAAAACTAGGATAATGTCCTGTTTTAGAAATCTCAATATACCTGTTTTTCTTTTCAAATAAAAACAATTTATTACAAATACCTGTCGATGTGGTCATTTTTGATGTAGGCAAAGTCGAATTTAGCGGGGGACACACTTCCGGAGCGGCGAGTGCTAGTGGATAACACATTGACTTGGCACAGCGAGTACTGCTAACACATACAGTATAAGGTACTGCGCATGTCGTATTGTCACTCAAACAAGATGCAAAACTTGAGCAAGAGAATAGCGCGATAGCACATACACCGCCCATTTTTAAACTAAGTGGCAAACATTCGCACTCATAGTTGGTTGAACATGGTGCTACTCGAGTGCCACATGTTGAAGGCTGACATTGGGAGGTAGCTGGAATTTGCCCTGTTTAATAATCAAGATAAAGAGATCACGATATGAATGATAAATTTTTTGTGCACCTTCTATGCTTGCAATGCACCTGAACAATTAAATAAACTAGTATTCAATATTTCAAATGAATCGAGAATAACTCACATGAGAACAGTTAATGCAATCAGCATAATTATCGTATTGTCGAAAGTATCTGAAAAGTAGATAAAATATGGTGCTACGTAATACTTTTAGAAAAAGGTTCCATTTTCAGTTGAATCTCGCCAGAAGTGCCTAAGTCGGAAAAGGGTGATGGTGTGGGGTATGAGTGTAAATTTACGTATGAATGTGCGTATCGCTCTGACTGTGACTACGAAAAGAAAAATTAGATTGACTCTCTCACACTCATCCATACGGTCACCCCATATAACCCCACATCCACATCCACACCCTTTTCAGAAACAAATTAATTCAACCGCATGAAAATTCAAAGATATATCGCCAAAATAATAAGGGGGCCATTTAATATGTCGCACTCATTATCGATGTACATGTATACGGCGGGTGTGGCTGTGTCAACTGTGAATAGGCCAGGAGATAAACAGTACCTACAATCACACCCTCATATTGTACACGAGACCTTTACAGTTTCATCTCGAAGCGAGATGGTTTCAGGTTTTTTATACAGAACATTTTCGCTTCCTAAAGATCTGAAAATGGTATCGTGGCGAAAGTTCTCCTGGTATGTTCATAAAAAGAAGCATTTTGGGTTCCGTATCTGCTACCGAACCTACGAGGAATTCTATGAGTGATTTTTTTCTCCGAGTGTATGAATTATGTAGATATGCGTATGTGTGCATTTGAGTATCCCTTACCTTATTTTTGATGTGCAACAGTTATACTTTAAACATCATCCAGCATTTAAAAAACCTGGAGCTACATGACAAGTAACGTTCGTCGCTTCGACTCGCTTAGCCCTCGACTGAACAAGATATCATACTCCATTTTTTCACAGAAGATGTAGTAATAGAAGTTCACAACAGTTATACGAAAACGCGGAGTAGTTTTTTGAAAATTCTACTAGAAACTTGTATACATTTGCAACATTCGTCGATAATACTGTTTACTATAGAGCTCTCTAGGAAAGTAGGAGCTTTCTGGAACCCCTAGCTGAAAATAAATGAGCTTATCTCTGATCTCTAATTAAAACATCATACACACAACAAGTTCTTATTCAAAGCAGTGATAAGACTAGACAGGTTATTTGAATGTGTCAGTAAAAATTCTGATACTTGAATTAATACAAAGAAAAATATATACCAAATGAAACACTCTTTTATTTTATTCATGTCCACTACTGATACAGCAAATATAAATTCTTTCAGTAATGTCTTTATTTCGACGAACTATTCAGGTATTGTGTTCAAACATAAAAGTCATTTCTCATTCTTGACCTGACATAGTTTTTTCGACTTTATGTATCTGATATTTCTTATTCCGGCTCATTTTACCGCGTCTGTTGACTTTGATTCAACGAATCCCAATACTTCGACGCGGCGCTTCGATAGTGAAGCCAGTGCAGCAGCCAGCCAGTCGCTCGTCGGCGCCTCTTTGGGGTGCCATTCGCGGCTAGCTGCTACCACCTTTGATCTTATTTTATTCTGAGATAATTCTTTTCACTTCAACCCTATTAAACGTCAGATTGGCATTACTTGAAAAAACTTTTAGCTTTACAACATGATGACTCAAGATCGGCTACTCCGAACCAACACGTTCTTATTGTTTATTCTTAATTTTTTCAACCTCATTGTTCAGCGAATAAATTCGAGTTTGATTAGAGCTCTTAATTTAGCATGTCTTAATAGATTATTCTTCATAAATGTAGGCTTCGCGTTGTTATTTTGTCAAACTACATTAGAAGACGATTACAACAGTAGTTGCTCGTCGCTGACAGATATCTCTCTCACACACTTTTCATATTCTCTTGCTGCATTCTTTCAACACATCGATACAATCATTGATTCTTTTGCACTTGCCCTACAGTCTCGAACTTCGCTTACAGTATTCTTTTCATGCTTCTTCTTTCGACTTAAATAAACTGTGCAGAAAAAAGCCATTTAACTTAGAAACCACTGAAAATAAACAGGAATCGCTCAATGTTGTGTTCATTAAACTGAGAGTCAGTAGAATGTAAATATTGTTTTATCACAATGAGACTTAATGAAACGCCCACCTCACTAGGCCAAACTCCGACTTCCATCTATAACGATACTGTGAAAAGAGAACCGAAAGTATACAGTAATTGGATATTCCAGATAGACAAAAGGCGTTTCCGAAACTCGAGCTCCCTTTTTTTAAATAATCTTTTCTCAACAAATTGCTTCTTCCTTAAACAAAGGTTCAAAGAAAAAAATATTATTTTCCCATACGAACAACTATTTTACTTTTTGAGAATCTCATTTCCGATTCGGATTCCTCGATCCTGACTTTCTTTCGTCAACCTTTATAAGATTTCATTATTTACTCCAAAAACCTGTTCCTTGATCCTAAAAACTCAATTCAAAATTTTGAAAAACTAACTTCCGATTCGGATTCCTCGACCTCGATTTCCTTTCGTCAACTTTTATAAAATTTCATTATTTTCTCCAAAAACTCGTTC